CAAGCGGCGCACTGTAGCAGTGTGCCACCGGGCCGGCCCAAGGATGAATTTTAACAAGATGGGCTGCCTGGAATGTACTGCAGGGCTGGGTCAGACCAAGGGGCAGTGGTGGGAGAGTGGGGGGTGGGAGGCAAGGGTCTGTGCCAAGAGGTCCCAGTGATGATGTCAAGGGCATCTGACAGGCCAAGGCTTTCACTTGGGGAGGTGAGCAAGGGCTGAGAGAGCCCAGCTTGGGGTTGGGGCCAGGGTGATTTCTGATCTGGAGCAGCCTCCGGGATAGGAACTGTTCCTAGCTTTGCCAACCCCTGTTCCAGCTGTGCCCATTCCCTGCCTGAAGTTTGGCAAGTAGGGCTAGAGTTGGCAGCCACAGCCAGGGCTGAAGGAGTCCTCCCAGCATCAGGTAGGGATGACAGAGTCAGGCAAGAGCTGAAGTGACTTCTTCACCCTCAAAGAAAAGAGGCTGGGGTGAATCACCAAATCCTGCTGTGGGATCTTAGTGGTAGTGTCAAATTCTGCTGGGCACCCCCATCCGTCCCACCCAGGGGTCTTGCTAGAAAGAAGATTCCAACCAGAAGTGGTAGGTACAATGGGTGCTTGGGACAAATGGCCACCATCTCTACCCTTGGGCACTAGCCTTGGGCTCCTGGACATGGGGTCTGCGCATGGAGCCCCACTCCGATGGGAGCCCTTTGCTTTGCTCTTCACTGCTCTGCTACAGAGAAGTCAGATCATTAACATGGTGGGTTGAAAATGCAAATAGAAGAAACCAAATGAGCTGCCTTGTTTTTGCTCTTTGTGAGTGCTTGAAAGTCACAAATTGGAGAAGCAAAATTTGAGGATTGATGGTTTATGATTTCATTTATTTAAAATATTTTTAGTATAGTTGGCCTTTTTATTTTTTAATTTTTTAATTTTTTTTAATTTTTTTTTATTATTATTTTTTTCCTTTTTGTCTTTTTTTTGTGTCCGGCAACGGATTGCAACCTTCAGTGTCGCGCCCGTACCGGACCGGGACTGGCAACGGGATCGCAACGCTCGGTGTCACGCCCACACCTCGCTCAGCCAGTGAGCGGGAACTGGTCTGCATGTGAGATCCGAACCCTCAGCGGGAGCACCACCGCGCTCCCAAGCGGCACACTGTAGCAGTGCGCC